TATGTTTATCTACAGCTATGGATGTGTGTAAGATTTTGTCCTTTTTTGCTAATTACTTTCAGAAAGTCAATAGGTAACTATTGTATAATATATAACTATGTATAATGAAAATCATAGTGTTGAAACGAAAATGGTCTCTGGAAGAGTTTCCTACTTTATGGTTGAAAACTCTAAGGCCCAGAGACGCTAAGTGATGCCTACAGGGCCATAAAACCAAATCTTGGCAGAGTTGGACACTAAGATGTTCCCTTCCTCTTATTATCAAAAGGAATTGAATTCAACACACTTTAAAGGAAGTTAACCAACCCTAATAATTAGGATTCTTTGAAATGTAAAAATATTATTTATGTCTAAATTAGTCCGGGATAAGGTACTTTATGTGAAAAATAGTATTTACATACTTAATTTGTAGATTAGAATTTAGTTTTGAAACAATTGAATAATAAGTATGTCATCTATCCAAAGTGTATCCAGAAATTTGAAGCTCATGCTGTCTTCTACAAATTAGGTACATTGATTAATTGGCTTTTACATATATACCGCTAGATGAGCTGATTGTACATTAATTTTTGAGTATGCCTAATTTAATCAGCCTTTCACAAAGAATAAATTTATGAACAAATTTTACTCACTTTTATGGTATTTTGCTAATAGCCAGGATAATTTACGCAGGTTCTATAGACAATACTACCCGATTAGGAACAGTGAGATAAATCACACAATAAATGCACATTGAAAATCAGAAACGGGGATCTACCACAGGCCATGTTAAACTCTCACGCAAATGTCTCCAAAATTCCGATAGCTAGATACAGGGAATCCCAAGAGCAACAGAGGGAGAGAACCCCGGCCCCAGCCATGCTGAACACCAGCAGAGTCAAGCAGAAAATGAGAGGCCTATGCAGGGTGCAGTCCTCCAGTCGACCTCAGACTTGAACCCGTGACTGCACGTGGGCTCACGGGTACTCTCTCACAAGCACTATTGATTTCATTTGTAGGGAACTTCACCGGTGCTGTTCAAGGACTATGTGACCACAGACTGCTAGGGTCCTTACAGTTACTCTTCATGTAGATGCTATTTTTGAATAAAGATGTGTGTGAGTGAATGAAAGAATGAGACCCGAGCACATACCGTAGACTAGGCAATTATTCTAAGGAAGCAAAAAGTGCATAGTGCCACCATGTAAGGAAGAACAGAACAAAAGCCCAGTCAGGAACATACCAGCGCAGGAAGAAAGTCACCTCCCTGTCCTCCTCCAAATAGTCTCTGACTGTTCATACGACTTCAACTTTTTAATTTGAAAAACTTAAACAATCTTAAAGGGTAAGCACCTATTGGTTATTAATCATAGGCTAGGGGTCATTTCCCAAGGCTTCTAATAACTATGGAATTTCTTTTCTTTTAATTCAGCTGGATTTGTTCTGGGATGAACATTTTAGACCTTATCACAGATTTATACTTTAAAAAACAATTCTTCATATACCTGGTTCCCCTCAGAGAATCCATTTTTCTGGGAACTATTTAATTGTTCAATGCCATGGTTTGTAAAAGTTTATGGTAATATTTAAAGGTAAATGAACTTTAAGAAAGTCTCAAACTCTAGGGAGAGAATACAAGGGGGCGGAGGAGAAGGAGAGGAAGGGAGGGAAGGGGGGAGGGAGGGAGGGAAGAAGGGAGGGAGGGAGGAAGAAACAAAGAAACAAGAGACATTGAGAGAACTTTAAATGATAGGCTAATTGGCCAGATTCCTTAACACAGGATTTCAAAGAGCTGGAGACTTTCAGTTCCTTGCCAGATGAATGTATGGCTGGGAGCTGATCAGAAGGAACCCCGTGGATTCTTCACTCTCTAGCTACACCAAGCTCAGTGAGCTCCTTTTCCTAGGTCATCAACATCATCAGTCCCCCTGATAAAACAAAACCAACACAGCAATGATAGAGCTTGGGACTAGGGGCCAATCCTGGCCAAGGGAGCTGGAAGGGAATTGGGCGTGTGGAGTTCAATTCATCTTCACAAAGTGACAGACACAGGTTGATAGCAAGTGGGATACATCCAGCAAAGAGAACAAAAAGAAAATCAAACAAACAGCAACAACAAAACCCTAATGGAGAGCCAACTTAAAACAGGAAAGTTCCTAAGAGTCTTCTAAGGTAGGAAGACAGAGGGATTACACATCCCGAGAAAGAAATGCCTATTAAAATCAGCAGCAACAACAACAATACCTGTTGTATGAAAGGATCCTGGCTCACACCAGACAGGGACTACCACCCTGCAGCTGTAATTTAGGGAGCCAGAAACACAAAGTAGGGATGTTTGTAGCTACTACAGAACATGCCTGTGTCTAGGATAGGAATCCAGGTAGGAAGCAGAAGTTGGCACTTTTAAAGCAATGATTATTTTCAGAAAAAAACCCTCTTTCTGCATCCCGGACTACCACAATTGGAAAGAGGAGAGCTGAAAGAGAAAACTGTTTCTGGGCCAAGAGAGATTTTCCCCAAATCATCCGAATCTGCCTTGCAAGGCATCACCCTCCTGGCTACATATGGGACGAATAAAGATCACCCAGATGTTTTGTTTAATCTAGGTAGTATTTTTAAAATAAGAAGGGTGGAGGAAATCAGGAATTTCCAAGTCCTAACATGCAAAGTTAAAATCTGTGAGCATAGCAGGTGGTCTTAAAAAGTAAACCAAGAATGTACTTAAGCAGAAAGACTGCGTAAATGCTGTTTACTGCTTCCCAAGGTAGACAGAAGAAATCTCCAGCGCCTCATTTTTTCCATGACTGGAAAGGGAAAATTAAAGAGCCCTGCGAAGAATTGGCAAGCGACCGAACATAACCGTCAATGATCTCAGTAATCCAGATGCGTATAAACCTCAAAGGTGTTGTAATCCCTGCGGCCCCCCTCCACCTAGTTTAACAATGCAGGTGTCTTCAGAGTGTATTACTCACGCTATCTGCCAAATACGATACGTTCAAGCTGTGTCCACAGAAGATCCCAGCCCACTCCCCCACCCCTTTTGTCCCAGACAGACACAGACGGGAGCAAGCGCAGGGTCCACTTGCTCAGGCTTCTCAGGGGCAGTCAGCGCCCCTGCTGGCTGCTGGTTGTTGCTGGTCTGGCATTACCTTGAGCAAGTTGCGACTGCGGTTGTGTATGGGACTTCTTTTTGGAGGCGCATTTGTCTCTGCTGCTGTTCCTGTTCTCTGTGGGTTTGGTGTGAGGAGGGTCATCGCTTGTGGTCAGATACTTGAGAAGCTCTGAGCAGGGACGTCTTTGTGGCTTTTGCTGTTGACAAATGCTCTTTGCTTTATTGCCCCATGAATTCTCGGTCTTAAAAACAAGGCATAAAGAAAGCTAAAATTAGTGAAGTGAACCTTATCAGAATGGATATAGGTTTTCTGAAGAGATGAGATTTTCGGTGAAGTGCTCAGTCTAAGTGTACTGGATCTATGAGCTGTGAATAATTGTTTGCAGAACAAGGAAGAAAATTACATTTAAAATTCCTAAATGCCATTTATGCAGCTTTTTATTTCATTTCTCCTACATCCCGATGTTCCTACTCAGCAACATGTAACTAACAAGACCCTACAGCGCCTTTACTGTGAGGAAAGAAAAAAAAAAAAAGAAAGAAAGCTGCTTTAAACCTTAATTTACCGCTGATTGCTGAGGCCCAGTATTCACAACTCTCTTAAGTACCCCTTAACGCTCCGCTTTCGCTCACAGCGAATGGCAAGACAAACATTGTTTAATACAGCCCGCTAACTGAATTATGTCATTGCCAGCATTTTCTCCAATTAATGGCAGAGACGGATCTTTTGCAGGGAATTCGAAACCATCTTTGTCAGGTTAAACAGCTGGCAAAAACAGCCATCCTGCATCTTAAAGCCGTCCACAGACCACAACTACCAGCCTACCAGTAAATCGTGCCGTTGTACAGACCACTGCATGCATTAATCAAGTGGGAAAGGAATTACACATTCCGATCATCAGAAAAAAACAATGCCTAAGGGAACTCTTCCTAAGATCCCCCAAGCTCCAGTGTTTGGAGACAAGACACACTTCTGGTCTGCTTCCCTCTAGGGTCAGCTGCCGGATCCTGGCTGAATGAACACCTGCAAACTTTATGTCCCTTCGTTCCACGGATTTGTGCCATCCCCACCCCCTTGCTTTTTGCTCTGTTTTAAAAGGTTTGCACACGCACCTTAACAACTGCAGGGCTTGTTCTGATCCTGTGGTTATGGTTCGCATGGTTCTGAGTGCTAAGACCGCTGCATTCATTGTAGCACAGCTGAGTATTGGCTGGTGCCAGTAAGAGCTTCTTAAGCTAGACATGCCAGGGAAGGAAAAGCAGGAAACGTTATACAGCTTCTGAACTTCAGACTGGTAACTGAAAGTTGACAAAAAGCAATTGAATGTCTCTTTAACTATACCACACTTTAGCACAAGAATGGTAAAGGAAACAGCTTTATTAAAAGTAAGAAAAGATTTTATCATTACAGTGCTACCTCGGAAAATATTCCCTTACCGTTTATTTGAGACTTGGCATTGTTACCCTCAATTTTTAAATGACTGTTTATGTAGAATAATGGTGCAATCTTCCCTAAAATGATTCCGAAAGCAAAACTATCTGGGGTAAAGAAGGCTGCCTTGCCCACTAACACTTTGGGGGCAGAGGTTAGATACTACATCTTTCTCCTTTTCTTCTATCAAATTCGCATGATCATCAATAAAAACATTTCTGAACCATATTTCATAACTAAATATATAAGCTGATGAATTAAAAATATGTGGATTAGAGCAGTGGCTAGCACTGGTGTGAATAAAGAAAGGCTTTGTAAACAGGGTGCTGTTCAACAGCCTACATGTTGGTCACAGCACAAGACAAGCATTTGCTGTTGGGGCTTGCATCTTTGCTTTTTGAGTAAGAGCCTCCTTATGCAAAGACTCACTCCTCCCTAGCCTCCTAAGCAGCTGGGTCATCCGTTTGCCCTACAATGCCTAGGTTTATCACTTATTTCACGACCCTAATTTCTTTATTCAAGGACTCTCAAGAGCCTCCCTGCCCTTGAATCCTATCCATGCAGGATGCCTTTACCTCCACAACACTTCCCAGCTGAACAAACTGTGTAGATGCAAATCCTTGCTGAGGAATTAGGATACTAGACCGAGACCCAGTGACACATGGTAGGCATGGAGAGTGAGGAGTGATTTCCACATGTAATATTCTCCTGAAGAGCAGAAGTCTTAGACTACAAAGAGGAAGCAAGCAGATCTCCATATGTTCATGTAGAGTTCCTTCAGACTTAACAATTTGGGAGAATCAACCTCCAAATAGCATGCCGGAGTATTTTATTAATGTTAGAACAATGGTGTTCCATAATTTACACAGCACTGCTCTCCCATGAGATTTATAGCAAATGACAAATGGCTATCATAGATGGGGAGGCAAATGGCACTCAGAACTAATAAAATTCTGGTCAAGCATTTAGTTGAAAAGAAACGTCACTCCTCATGGCCAATGGATTTATTCTCCGTTGCCTACCACAAATTTCAGAAACTTGGGCTGCAGATAAGCTATTATTTTCCCATCTTCTTAAGAAATGCTGATCTAAAGTCTTAAGCTACAGCATACTGCCTGACTTGCAATTCTATTTTTAGAATCATATGCAAAGAAATGTAAACATTATTATATAATCTGTAACAGCAAAAACATGGAAAGAAAAAACTAAACACCTCACTGGTACTAGATTGCCTAATAAATCAAAGCATCTCCATACAAAAAAATACTATGCAACCACCAAAATTGTTGCGTATGTCGAAGCCATATACATAAACAATAAAAATAGACCTGGCAGGTCAGATTTGCATATGTGCACATATATGTGGATATATATGTGTGTATGTATAACAATAATAATTAAAGAAAAAGAGGCTATTAATTTGAGAGCAGGGATCATGGGAGGGTTAATAGGGAGGTACCAAGGAGAGAATGGAAAAATGATAGAGAAGGGGAAAATTGATAAAATTATATTTTAATTTAAAAGTCATAGAAATAAAGACATCTTTAAAAATCATAAAATGCAATGACATATCCATCTTAAATTTTAAATTAAAAACATTCAGTTATTTTGATATGATAAGGTCTTAAAAACCACAGGTAAATGTTTAGTCTTTTTTTTCTAGATCTTGCTCTTCTCTTAAGGCTTTTATCATGAACTTGAATAATTCTTAGAGAAACGATCACACGCATAATAAGAGTAAAAGATTGTTGTCATAAACAACTTCCATTATGCCACATAAGAAATACCTTATCAACACTTTTAGTAGGGAATTACAGAATTGGAAAATCTAGGCTGACGGGTAAATTTCTTTTCATTTGAGTCTGAATTAAAAACCCAAACCTGATTATTCCTACAGAGCCATGCACTGGTCAGTCAGTGGCAACTCTGACCACTGTTTAGACAGTAGGAAGGGTTCTTACTAGAGACGGCTCTTCTGCCTCCTGAGGTGGAGGGGTGCCGTCAGGCATGGAGGAAGGACTGGCCTCGTTGTCAGTGGTCACGTCTCCATCTGTCAGGGCATCAAATGAGGGCAATCCGTCTTCATCCACAGGGAGACTGTCCAGTGTCTCTGTGAGAACTGCTAGCAAGTTTGCCTCATTCTCTTCATCTATCTTCTGCAGAAGCAGTGAAAAAAAAATACAGACGACATGAGTGAGTTGACATGAGGAGGCAGGCACCAGGATTAATTAGAAGGCTGAACATGTCCGGGTGGGTTGAGGAAACTGTATGTGATATTCTCGATGCCCATGCCAGAACACAAAAATTATGTCTTCCACAAACTCCTAAACCATTTTTAGTCTAAATCATATGATTACCAAATACATTTACTGATCTTGGAGCTGTCTGGTTTAGCAATCTGCTAGGTCAGTCCTTAGTACTCCTGCATCTTCTGTTGTGTTAACAGTCTTTTACACATCCTTGCATCTTCTGCCTCTCACATAAGAAATCTCATCTAATCTTCATACACAGTTCTTAGATCTCCCACTCACTATGCCACCCCAAATATTTAGACAATGTTTTCCTTGAACACCATCAGAAACTTGAACGACGCAAAGGGAATCTACACACTTTTGTGATTTCAGTTACAATCTCATCACTGCTCACTCCAAAATCATTTATTTCTCTTCCTGACATCCCTCCCAACTTAAGTCATAAATCTCTGCCCACTGGATACTTGTACCATATAATGGCTCTCTTGTCTCCAAAACCCAAACTTGGGACCTTTCACAGCAAAACTACTACTCTTTTTCTTAACTCCTTTAGTTTGAATATCAGTTCTTCTGACTTGTGCTCTGAAATGCCTGGGCTCCTTGTTATGAAATCAGTTGCTAAGGGGAACTTCCCTTTGCATTGTATCTTAACTAAACTCATCTCTGGTGCCAAAGATATAACTTCAGCATAGTATGGTTTCCAGTAGGGGCTTTGCTTCTGTGGTGTATTCCAACCTTCTGTCCTTCTGCCTAAACTCATTTTCATTGATGCTCACACAAACTAACATCATCCTGTACCTTCCACGGATATTACTGAATGCCTTAATCTTGGCAATGTCATGGTAAGGACTAAACATGGAAGAAAAAAGATCGAACTCTTCCCTTTAGTCCAAAGGTAAACAGTCTATGAATGATATGAACAAATTATATAAAGGATAATATTAGTCTTGGTTCTCTGTATAAAACCTGTAATATCTATATCTGTTAAGATAAAAGTAAGTTCTTGTCTATGCATGTAATCAATCAACCCCAGCACTGGGCACGTGGAATAGATACTCCCTGGTTACTCAGAATAATTCATTAACAGCATTTATTGGCACCCACAGAGACTGTGCACATCATTTTCTATTCTTTCTTTTAAAATTCTACATTGTTTATCCAATTTGACCTGTTTCCAACATTCTTTTTCTTTTGTCAAGTTCTGTATGCTATGACATTAACAATATAGCTAAATTATTCCACAAAATTATATTACAAAATGCACCTAAGCTGCTGACATCTAATAAAGCTGGCAATACCCACCCTTCCTTTCTCACTAGCATTGAACTTCGGTTAATTGACCTGACAAAATTACAAGAATCACAGAAAAAGACAGCTAATCAGAAAATCAAATTGTATTACTAGAGAAATTAGGCAGGGCCTTATCATGTAGACATTCTATTTTCACGAGAAAAAAAATGTTTTCCCTCATTACTGGTCACGCTCTATCTAGGAGTCAAATTACAAGCTTGGCTTTTGTTTGTTTATTTGTTTGTTTGTTTGTTTTAGGTTCAAGAGGCCAGGAAGAATCATTTTATTCTCTGTGGGCATTTAAAAAACTCTTTAACACTTGCATATGGCATCTTCCTACTGTACCCGGGTTTGAGGCTATAGACACATTGCAATGTGACAAATGGATTGAGTTTTAAGTTCTAATGAAGAAGAGAAACTCAACCAGAAGCTTGCAATCCATCCCTTTCAGAGGGCACACTTACTTCCATCAACTAAACGTTCCTCACAATCTAAACTGCACAACAACAAACCAACCAACCCTCAGTTCCCAATGCTTCTGTGTCCTTCCATCTACTCCCAATAAGAGAAATAGTAAAATATTTTCCATTTTCTGATTTATACCATAATCTAGTATCAAAAAATTCTAATGACTCAATTTTTTGTACTCCTAAATTCTAATTACCACCATATACCAAAAATAAACCAAAATTAAATGTAAGTCATCAAACTTTTCTCAATAAAAGTATATTTAAATAAAATACACCACTGTAAATCTTATCAAATTAACGAGATTTGCATTACTATAAATGACTATAATTCTAATAAAACAATCTTTGAGGACCTCTCAAATACATACATGTACCCAAATATATGTGCACAATTTCATTAAATTGAACACTTTTCATAAATGCCTATCTCATTTTCAAAAAGGTTCAATTCACTGACGTCAAAAAAAGAACTCAAGAAAAATTGGTAAGAGTGTTTACCAATAAATGAGTAATTTTGTTTACCCTGATTTAAATTTTGTATTTGGCTTTCCAGAGAGACTACACGCTGCTATTTGCTTTCAATCACAGGATACAATAGCGCCTCAGCTCTATCCGTTGGGTAAACAAACTCTGGTAATTTCAATCAAGTCAAAATGACAAAGAACACTTAAATTAACTAGTTTTCACCAATTTCTTTAATAAGCCTAAGCGAATGTATATGCACACAATGGCAGCAATATTGGAGCCTGATAATGTCATAATTAATTTACAAGATCTTATCAACCCACCAACTTTTGAAACTCTCCTCCCTTGAAAGCACAGTAAGAATGGAAGGCTTCTGGAATGGGATATTGCTACAGTAAATGTGTGCGTGGTTGAGACATGGGTGAGGAGACTACTCTATCCAACCAGTACATACAAATAAGACCAGCCTTTTTACACCATCAATTAAAGATGGTTATTGGGTATGTTTACTATTCCTGTATGTCCAGGTGCTCCGTGACCATTTATTTTGTAATGTTTGTTCTGAATTTTGGAAGAATGGGTGTTATAATTTCAAACTCTGCTTTTTTTCATTAATTAGGGGAACCTAATGATATACCTCTGCATCAAAGATCAACCATTTTTCCTAAGTGTAAAATTGAGCGGCTGCTGTCCCTCACTGTGGCAATTTCAATTAGTTTTGGGTGAGTTTCAAAAGTCATCCTCACAGAGAAGACAATGGATATGACAAAGAGGACTCTCTTAAACAATTAATGTCACTTTCCACTATTGCTCTGGTCCCAATTTACAGAGCAAATCAATCAAAGTCACCACGGATGAAGCACAGAAGCCTATGAATACATGTCTGTTCACATGTGACAGGGAATGGAAGCACATGAGTGAGCCAGGTGACACTGAACGGGACACTTTCACAGCCTTCACCTTTGCGCCCCTCTCCAGCCACATGAAAGAATGATATTATAAGATGGAGCATCTCTTGGCACTGTCTAAAACAGTAGTTCTCAGCCTGTGGGTCATGACCCCTTTGGGGATCCATAACATATATCCTGCATAGCAGACATTTACGTTATGACTCATAACAGTAGCAAAAGTATGATTATGAAAGAGCAAGAAAATAATTCTGTGGTTGGGGGTCATCACAACATGAGACACTGTAATAGAAGGTCACAGCATTAGGAAGGGTGAGAACCACAGCTCTAACAGATTGAGAAGATCAAGAGTGAAAGAGCTGATCACCACAAGGTGTGTGGACATCACCAGCTCCATTCGATTCCTTGCAGCTGAAGAGAGATAGGAAAGCCCAGGTCAGCAGAAAGAAAAGCACCTCCGGAGCTGCTCTGCAGCCATCAAGGGCATGTCCTGTGGGCAGCTTCAACCCTGGCCCCTCCTTACATGGTCCAGTTCTGCTGCTAGTCTTCTGACCTAAATAAAGGTCTGTGTGTCTGTAAAACTCCGCTCTCCAAGGGCTCTCCAGGAAGAAAGGAGGCGCAGCAACAAAACCTCACTCCAGGTGTAAAGAATTTCCTGTGGCAGATAATACACTGGCGTTTGTACTGACAACCCCAAATCTGGAACCTGCAGCAATTCCGAAGCCATGCCTCATCATTAATAAATAATGGTTCTGAACAGTCAACAGACTCTGGAGTCTCATTGCTGCTCTGTGAGACTTCAGTGTTCTGAAGTGGCTTGTGCACTGGGTGTGATATAATCCAAGTAGCACAATGAAAGATGGTAGACCATGTTCCTGTGGCCTCCTGAGGTCACCTGAAGATTTAAAATCCCAGATGCAAGGCCTGAACTGGACTGTCTTGCTTTCCTCATAAGAGCAAAATGGATCTTTCAGCTGATAAAGAAAACATGGTGGTTGGGCACACAGCAATGTCAGCTTATCCAGCCACATGCCCTAGAGAGCAAATAAATCCACCCCATCAGGGAGAAGATGAAGGACTGGGTTGCTAAGGTACACCTGGAGGGAGAAACCCAGAGGAGAACTGCATGTGGCATTCCCAAAGGTTTCTAAATGCAGCCTATTATGGAAAGACCATGCCCTACTCATGATAGTAATTTTTTCTGCATCTTGTAGCATTGCAATTACACTCTGCATCCCCACATTCTCACACTCGCTTGATCTCTGTTTGATAAAAATAGTTTAATAGCCATTTAATCACAGCTTCATTATCCTAGCTCTCTTAATGTGAATTAGGCCATGAGAATTCTAGCTTCCTCATTATTCAAATCATCAATAAGAAGGAAACAGGGGGGGTCTTCTTATCGCTCACTAATCAATTTCAGTTTCTTAGGAACTGTTGACTTAGAGATCAAACTCTGTGAGAGGTCACTTAACCTTACAGTGTCTCTATTTTCCTGTGCAAAGTTTCGGTTTTTCTGCCTCATTCCTGTTATGGATTTTTTTTATTCTTCTGAATTTATGATAAACAAAAGTGTCAATGCAACTTGAGAATCTTCAAGATGGGTTCCCAGAAGTATTTGCAGTGTGTATGCCCATCATCTTGATTACTCACGTTTGAATCTTCTTCCATGTGCACAATCTACCACTGACTTTCCACTCCGGGCCAGCTTCCCCCAAGTACCCAGCATGCCCTAGGCCTCTTTCTTGCCCTATCCTGCTGATTTGGAAAC